TTATTTTTAAATAGCAAAAATTAAACTTACCAATAGACATTTGTTCCCCATAATATACAATGCAGCACGTAATAGAGGAAGACAGCACTCAGGAAGATAGCCACGAGGTAGCCTCTCATGGCTGGCTCTCCTGAAACACAAGTCCAAAGGCAAGACTGTTACACAGATGCGTTTATCCAATGGCTCAACTATAAGTACTTGTGAATAAACACATAAAAAGGGAAAATTAGAAGAAAATGATGTTGGCCTATTATTTTCAAAATGCCCACTAAATGTGCAGAAAGAGACATTTTCTCTGTCCCTCCTCAGTCTCTTTTATCAACACAACATAATCTATGTGTAACCCAACAAACAGTTTCATTGTTTCAAAGCTAGTGGCTTCCCTACTACTTTCTCATGTTGGATAAGAAAGAAAAAAAATCGCTCAGAACAAAATTTCATATGGAAATTTGAAAACTTCTTTCAGAAGCAGTAATGAATATCTATTTCTCTCTCTCTCAATAGAAAGTGAATATATGCCTTAAGATGTAAATAAACATTTCATTTCTTTAGTCCTTGAAATGACTTTTTAGTGTTATGCATTACAATTTTTACAAGTCCTTTTTCTAATTTTATAAAAAATGGATAAAAGCGCCATTAAAAATATTTCCCATATCCTCAATTTTGATGCACCTTTCAATGCACCTATGTGATTTTTCAATATCACAGCACAGGTAAACTCAGCTAATTACGTGCTTTGTATTATATACAGTATAGTTCATCACACATTGGTAGACAGAAAAGCCTGGACACCTTTCCAAAATATAAACGCAAAAAAAGCCTTTGGAGAACACACATATTTTTAAAACCCAAAACATGTTTATTTAGTTCCCACTTTTACTTCAAAGATAGAAATAAATAAGTCCTCATTTCCACCTGCAATTAAATGCAAAAGACGAACTTATTATATATGGTTCCACAATAGGTCTTCTATTTCAACGCCTGTGACTTTAAACAAGTATACTATTTCCCTTGCATCTCTTCATACATTTCTTGTTCATCTGGACAATTGCGTGTACCACTCCTCTCACTCCTACCCATATCTGTTAACCGCAGTCAGGCTAATGCAGTGTAGAATGTGCAAATGTGGTTGCATGCATTTCCAAATAATGTAATGCTGCCTCCCTTTTCATGGTGAAATAAGTGTAAATGGGACTCTTAAAATAAATCATTCCTTTGTCTTCCTAAGTAGAATACACTGAACATAATTTAAACTTTCCTTGATAATGAAGGTCATCATAACAAATGTCCTAATTGTGCTGTGCTCTATTCGAGTCGAGACCTCTGGAACTACTGAGCGCGTGGGCTGTGTGCTAACCTGTAGCGACTATCCAGTCAAGGCTGACAATCTTGCCTCCCAGGTGGCAGCTGGCGCTTCCCACTGCTATTAAGGCAGCCACCACCCCACATTCCACTGTGATAAGTTAGTTAAAAATGAATGCTATGTCAGGGGAAAGCAAATAAACTAAACGAGCAAACTTTCATTTACACATACTTCTAATTTAGTATACATAATCCCTGTGGAGCGTCCACACTGGTTGGAAATCAGAAGACAGGGTTCATGGCCCAACTCCACATAATTCCCAGCTTTGGGGACCTTAGGTAAGGCTGTTCCCCTCTTCCAACCTGAGGACCAAAATATGCATTTATCATCATTCCCTAAATAGTTTTAAACAAAGGAAACCACATGTAGTATCTACATTTTATCAAACAATCCCCTTAACTCACATGTTTACACTTGAGAGCACATCACCAGAGTGACAGGCATCTGGGACAACACATGACACAAAAACATGTGCTGAGTATGTTTGTGTATTTTACTGTTGTTTGTTTTCTAACCCGAAAGTGTGGGGGAGAGACTGTCCCATACTGAGGCTGCCGGCGGACGCACAAGTGGGGCCCGGGACAGAAGAGGGAGGTTCTTACTGCAACCACTTAGAGGCTGATGGGAACTGATGTTTATCTGAGATAAATCAGCACCCTTTCCCCTGCCTCCACTTCATGCTGGTTCCCGGAACCCGCTGCTGTCCTGACCTGGACAAGCACGTGATTTCCCATACCTGCTGGCATCCGCATACTAGTACTGTGACTACCCTCGCCCTCACCCCTTTTTACTCTATATAACCCTTTGGCACCTGCCAAGTGGGCGCAGGAATCTATTTTGCCTTGCAGCCGCCCTGGTCGTGTCTCCTAGGTTAAGTTTCCCTTCATAAACTCTATTAATTGCCAAGTGGCCAGTCTATTTCTTTGCCTTTTTTTTCTATCCTCCACTTTAGAGGTAGATTTTCTTTCTCTGGGCTTTTCCGGGGTTTGAGTATAACTAACAATTGGCAAGCCAGGCAGAAGACCAAAAAAAAAGCGGGGGGAGGGGGGGGACTTTGGGAAAAGGGCATCTGGAGGGGAAATCCCAGCTTGGACATATACATCCATGTGGGGTGGCCCCTATCCTCAATATATGTGTGAGTGCAGGGATGCCTCCAAACTGCCAGGTGATCTCAAACATCTGTGTCAAGGCAGGAAAAGTTATGGCCACAGCCATAGGCTGGTCCCTATTGTGGGTGGTTTGACTGGCCACTGACACCCAGCTAGAAGCCATGGTTAGAAAAGTAGGAGGAGAACTGAAACTAGAAAAAGACATGGGAATGTCTACACTCTCTTAGCTCGGGACGGCTGACAGAGGTGAGGGAGGAAAGGCCCTTTGAGCAGAGCACACTCTTCTATGGAAGCCATGAGGTCTCTGTGTACACCTGTTTGTATGTTCATGTGTGTCTATATACATGTGGTGTTTGTGTGGTACTTTCTACCTTCACGTGGTATTGCTGACTGGTAAAAGAGCTATGTTTAATTGGCTTAAAGGATTTAAGCACTAAATTAAGGAGTGAGTATTCTAAAATTGTCAGAAATACAGAAACCAACCTAAATGCTTTTCAGGATCAAGAGATTTGGGAAAATATATTAAAACTAGCTTATGTTTGGTAGTTTAATTAAAACACATACATCTTTACCTTTTGTTTTACCTAGGCTTCAAATTAATCAGCAAAAATAATTTAGAATGAAGGCTGATTTTATCTAAAGTCTCATCAAGTTTTGTGGGTAATCTAAACATAATTGTTAAGTCCCAATAAAATAAATAGATGTAAGTAGAATAAAAGGCATTTAGGTGACAGCTTTAGCAATAACTTCTCAATAGTTAAAGCTAAGCTTCTGCATTTGAAATACCCTGGATGACTTTCAGCAAAAGGCAGCAACAACAAAATCTATGAAGATTATGGCACATATGGATGAAGTCCACCCTGCTTCTGCAAAGATGACCCCTCATTGCCAGACTTCTGCTGTTCTGATGTCCTTGTAATACGGCAACAAGCTGCTCCTGAGTCAGGGAAATTAAGATGGGCAAACAAGGGTTGTCAATCAAATGAAGAGACAGGGCTATGGGAAACCCGACAGTCACTTGGTTCTTTCAGGCTCCCTGGAAAACGCCATGTCTCAGTATTTGCATTCCTTCATTCACTCTAGTGCCTTTAAGCAGGACTTATTTCAACTGCCACTCCATCTACCTTGATGGCAATTACCATCCAACCATCCACCGGATGCAGTTAGTGTTGTTCTCCATTATATCCTTGTTGTGTGTATATCTTCTGGATGGGTTGTAGTCTTTCCTTGCTGCAAGGCTGATGCCCTCACAGTGACAAAGAACTGTGAGAAAATGTGTTCCCACTTAGGTTTACCTTCCAGCTGCTCCTCCATGCTATTTGCCTCGCCCCACCATGTGCCCTGGGACGGTGGCTCTGGACCTGGCACTGTCTTCCTTCCCGACCCCTGTGAAATGGGCTCATATTGATGACCTAACGCTAACATGTGAAGATTTGCTTTGTGCAGAAAACTTTGCAGGCTTTCCTGAACCACCTACAACAAGGAGGACAGGCAGGGAATATGCAGAAAATTCCAGGTCCGGGCACTGCAGTAAAGTCCTTTAGAGTCGCATGAGACCTGCATTGTCACAAAGTACTAGCCTAATCTATCCCCTAAAAGTGTGGAAGAGAATTTTGTGGAATTCTGGGGGACTGGTAAACATTTATGTCCTACATAGCACAGTGCCTTCAACCACTATATTGTCTAGTTAAGTAGGGACATATGTGGGATTAGGGAGCCAAACAACAGGCTGCCTTTGAGAAGATAAAAGTACTGGTCAAATTAAAGTCCTTGGAGTGTCCCCGGCAGGGTTACCATCTGAATTAGATGTTTCAGTAACCCTGGAGGCATGGGCTGGGCATTCTGGCACAAACAGCAAAAGGTAAGAGTGTCCTTGGATTTGGTATCAGATATACCCCAATAGAAGAGCAATTACTGACAATGCATACAGTGCTCTTACCAAAGAGCGGGCAGTTACAATAAGAACTTCCCTTGCTGTTAAGGGTGGGCGGACAGACAACATGGTCCATGGAACTGGCTCTTCCATGGCTCAGACTCCCACACCCACGGAATGGCATGTTTACTGACAACAGAGTAGCACCGTCAAACAGTCCCCTGCCTTCAGAGAGGCAGCAATTATAAGCCTTGTTGAACCTACGGACCCTCCAAACGCTCCCATTCCTGTTCCTGAGTCAGCCCCGGCAATCTGCAAAGAAGGAATATGGGAAGTTCAAGCTGGAGCTTGGTAGGACTCTAGGCAGGATAATCCATCTACCTGGATGGCAGTTACCATCCAACCATCCACCAACACTACCTGGGTGGAAACAGGAACAATGGGCTGAATTAGGAGCTGTTTGGTTGGTAATCATGCATGAACCTTGACCGCTGATCCTATATACTGACAGGTGGGCCGTTTAAAGGGAGTGCCTTTATGGCACAATGACTATAAAGGGAAGGGTGGATAATTATGAACAAATCTTAATGGGGACAAGAGATTTGGACTCACAAGAACATGAGTCAGACCTTGTCTTCCATGCCCCTGCCTATAAGGCATCCACACCTTGGTAACCAGGAATCAGATGCCTTGGCAAAAATACACACTTTAGCGAGTGAGCCATCAGTTGGCACTACATTTGGGTGTACTGGAAGAGTAGGCATAGCAAATAAGCAGGGCTGCCTTTAAAAATACAGTGACCTGGTCCATACAGTTATTGAATGGAGGTTCCATCTCCTATATCAGTGATTTTCAACCTTTTTCATCTCATGGCACACATAAACTAATTACTACAATTCTGTGGCACACCAAAAAAATATATCTTTTTGTCAATCTGACAAAAAAAATAGGTATAATTTTGATTCATTCACACCAGATGGTCCAACAAACTATGATACAGAGCACCAGGCCCTATGGACCCCGGACCTGGGACAGTGTCTGCAATGGGATGTCCCAGGGTGAGTCAGATACTCCCCAGCCCTGTGTGGGGAGGAACTGCTGTCTCTGGTGGGATCCTGTTATTCTAATGCAATGAAGAGCCACGGAAGCACTACTGAAAGAGGGGAGAAGGTAGGAGTCCTGGTCTGGCATGTTCCTCCCCGTATTCACGTCCTCACGCCAGGAAGCACCACCTCCCCTCGCCCACATGAATGGTTTACACAGCCTGGTCAGCTTCCAAAGACTGCGGCCACGTTAACATCTAAAAATCAGGCCACAGTGTAATTCTCATAGAGGGAGAAGATCTCCCAGTTCAAGTCCCTATTAAATATTTTTCTTTCTGATCTTAGACTTCTGCTGTTCTGGTGGCATCCAGTTTGTCTTCCAACAGCCTAAAACATGCATCATATGTAAGTTCCCCTTAATAAACTCTATTAATTACCAGCCTGGAGTGGCCAATCTGTTTCTTTGGTCTTTCCCTGCCCTCCACTTAAGGGGGAAGTTTTCATTCTCAGAATTTTTCCCAGGGTCTGTGTGCACTAACATAAAGTCAGCTGTTCTCTTTTGCTACACAGTTAAATGCATGGGTTTATGCTTAATGCGGCCTGTGCTGTATTCTTATTGGTCTGACAGGAAGATGCGGTTGGGCGTTGCTTTGGCAGAAAGCCCAGCATCTGCTGATGGCAAAGGGAACAAAGCATGTGAGGGATATGAAGGTCTGCTGCTTCCATCCCCTCAGGCTGTGCCTCCCTTTGCACTTTGGTCCATCTTCCTCACTCACTGTAATGCATGCTATCTTGATGTACTATAGGGTATTTTTAAAATGACCTTAAATTTATTTTGGTATTAAGCAAGAAAATAAATTGAATATTGACTGGGGAAAAAAAAAAAAGCATGGTTCTGTTTATTGAGAAATCATTAGTAAAATCTAAGTGATGGAGAGAATTAAGGTTTGGGATTATCTGAGTCAAAGTTCAAGCCAGTGAGGTGCTTGGGATACTAGACACATCACTGAAGTGGGTGGTGGCTCAGACAGACAAGTTAGCCAGCCCAGACACGGGCCCTTCTAATATGTGCAACAAATGTTAGCTTTCCTTCCTCCTCTTGTGCTGGATGAGCAGAGAACCGTCAAGGAACTGACTGACCTCCAGCCGGTTCTAAAAGGCAATCCACTGTATATGTGAGAGCGGTGAAACACTTTGGCCGGAGGCCATGAGCCACGCTTCATGATGACAAGTAGGACTGTCAGTGCGGACAGGGAGCTTATCTCATCCCAAAGACTGAATGCAAATTTTTTTTTTCCTGTCTGTGGAGGTATCGCCCAAATATGAATATAGGATATGTTTAAGACTATCTTGGAAGGCATTTTACCATGGGCCAAAACAATTACCAGACAACTACTTAAATACTCAAAGTAAATATTTAAGGCTGCACCCTGAATAACATCATTTATGCAAACATCCAACAAGGATGACACCAGTATCAGCAATTTTTTAAAAAAATATTGAATTTTTATAGGGAGCAAGGGAGAGAGATAGAAAGTTAGAAACACTGATGAGAGAGAAACATTGATCAGCTGCCTCCTGCACACCCCCCATTGGGTATGTGCCCGCAACCAAGGTATATGCCCTTGACCGGAATCGAACCCGGGACCTTTCAGTCTGCAGGCCGACGCCCTATCCACTGAGCCAAACTGGCCAGGTCTAAAGAAATATTTACATCTAAATAAGATAGCATATAACATAGAGGAAAAGTTCAGTATTTACATTTCAATTTGCTTATCTGTCACCCAAAAGACAGATTTGGGGAAATTTATGTATTATTTCACAGAGCACAGAAGTATGGGTAACCAAGATTTTCATTCACAAATGTGGTTTAGTTGTAAACAAAGAACTATGAGAGAATGTTTTGTTGTTGTTGTTGTTGTTTTTCAGAAAGTAAAATGAGCCTGCTCTTTGAGGAGCTGCTGCATACACCACCTGAGAACATTTAGGAAGCTTAGCCACTCTCTTGTATTTCACAGACAATTCAAAGCATCCATATTCAAGTTGCAAAACAGACTTGGACCAGCCAGGATATCCCTGTGATAAACTATAGTTCCTGTTTGCTCACAGGAAATATCTTCCAGAAATAAACACATTCTCTAATTATATTTTATAAATGGAAGGACCATTTTGCTTTGAGCAAAAGTGTTCAAAGGAAAACTAGTTAGAATGCCTGTTATGTTTTGTTTTTAAATTACAGCCCCGGTCGGTGTTGCTCAGTTGGTTGGGCATCATCCCATGCACTTGAAAGGCTGCGGGTTTCATTCCCAGTAGGGAGCATGCAGGAGGCAGCCGATCAATGTTTTGCTCTCACATCAATGTTTCTCTCTCTCCCTCTCCCATCTTCTCTCCCTTAAAATCAATTAAAAATCTTTTTAAAAAAATTATAAGGTCCTTCAATACAGCTTCATTTACCAAAACAAGCAGGTTTTCCAGTTCTTGACACTAAACATGACAGACGCCAGTGTCTTGGCTGCAGCTGCTCTTAAACCCAGGTTCTCTAAGACGCCCTTTGCAGTTTATATCATAGAAGCAATTGTTCATCTGAAGTGTGACTAGAGGGTCTCAAGGGAGAGTAGGACTTACTATTGGCAGAGATCAAACGTTTATTTCTTAAATTGTATTTAATCCAGTATATGAACAACCTACATCTGCAAAAGTGAGCTCAATCCTAGCAACAGTTTTTCCGTCTCTTTAAAAATAAAAGTATATTTTAGTTTGTGCAGAGCTTTAAAACACTTGTATGTCCACTTCACTCGAGGATCAAATCAAGCGTGGTAAGTGGGTGTGCGGGCACGACTTTAACGCGTGAGGGAACTGAAAGTTTCTGAAGTGAGCTGACCCGGGTCACACAGTCTGGGAGACAGAAATAGACTGACAGTCTGCCACTTGTGCTCAGGGTTCTATTCCTGGTGCCGTCCTGTCTCTCAAAATAAAAGGCAGGAGGGGAACTCAAAAGAGAGTTCTAATCTATAACTTCCTGACAGTGCTCCGCTGGCGGCTAGGGTTCCAAAAGGGCAAATTCAGATATTGGCAAAAGGGAAGCGGTCCCCGGGCAATGTTCTCCAAACGGACCTGGCAGGTGCCTGAGTCAGCACCAGCTGGGCCGGTCAACATTCCCTCCTTGATCTGAATCCCCTCAGGTAAGTGCTTTGAAGCAAGCACCTTCCAATCTGGTTCTTATGCCTGCTCAAGTGTGAGAATCACTGCTCTGGGACATGAGAGCCTGGAGGGAAAGAACCAGGGAGGGAAAAAGGATTTACTCAGGTACAGAGACCATAGCAGATATCAGAGTGGTTATCCCACTGGACTGAACGCTCCGAGAGCAGGACTGTCTGTCCTGTCTATCATTTTGTTTCCAGCGCTTCTAACCATGCCTGCCACATGGAAGACAAGTAGACGTTGTTGGAGATAGTTGCAGATACTATAACTAGATGCCCTGTATTAATTTTTTTACCCCAAATGCTTCACATTTGGAAAATGCCCCGTGAATAATAGCTGACGAGAATCTTAAGATATTTGAGTGCTTAGCATGTGCCAAGCCTGCGATAAGTGCTTGGGGCGTATTATCTCACGTAACCCTCACATTTGTGAGGGGTGTGGTCAACTTACAAGTCTCATGTACGGATGAGGAAACTGAAGCTCTGAGAGCAGCAGTCACTTTTCTGAGCTGATAAGCAGCAGAACCAGGACTCAAACCCTTATTTCCCAGACCAGAGCCATGCCTCTCTCCCGATGTGAGCTTTTTTTTTACAAATGCACACAGGCACATCCTTCTGATACCAGACCGACATCACAGAATGTCCCTCTAACCCATCTATCGCACCAGCTCCTTGAGCAGTATCAATTCCAGGGGTTGGTGAAATGGAAAGCTTATAGTCAGAAACTGTGCTAAAATAAAACCCTATTACTCCCAACCTTGTTTTTCCTAATCCCATTCCTCTGGCTTTTAGTAAATCCATTAATTTTCTTTTCTCCATGGCTCTGTTGGATGTCCTAGAGCAGTGGTTCTCAAACTGCACTATGCATAAGAATCAAATTAGAGGGTGCTCGGTTCGTGCCATGCATACTCCCGAGTCCCAGAGCAACCATGAGAGCATTACTTATAAAAACAAACAAAAATAACCTATAAAATGTCACTTGAAAATGACTATATTTTTATTTTTAGGCTCTCCTACTGCTACTTCCAACAACCTACTAGGAAAAAAGGTATATTCAGCAATAATTCTGGAAACATTGTTCTATTCACCAAGGACAGAAACCCTGTGGGCATCTCAATATCACACAACACCAAGGAATAAAAGCCCTCAATTTCACTCTTCACAAAGCTGAGCATGTAACACACAGACCCGCCTGCCTGGCCTCTCTGTGCCAGTTTCCCCTAGACCTGGCTGCGGGTGCTTCCTGATGCCCACATGTAGTCTCAGCCCCACTTCCTACTCTGGGACTGACTCTGGCCCAAGAAAAGGGAGCCCGAGGAGCCCTCAAGTAGCTGCTCAACCGGTTGGTCGGATTCCCGCTGACTCCACGCTGACTTTGGACATATCCTCTGGACCTGGGTTGTCCAGGTCCCTGACCTAGAGCCTCGTTCTTCAATGTCTGCATTCTTCTCCTTCAGCCACCCAGCAGCTCTGCAGCTGAACTCCGAATTTGTTAGTAAGTAGGATCCCAAACCATTTCTTCATCCATTCTATCCTCATATGCTCTCTGCTTCCTCGGTGACAGATATCCTGCTCTCCTGATGCTGTCTCCTCTCACACCCAATGCACTGCTGCTCAACAGGAATACCCAATAACTTGCAAAGTTGTGCACATTAGAAAAGGACATGCCCTCTGTCTTCACATAGCGCCAAGACCACATTATCTTGGCACGGGCAGGGTTTCAGCCATAACTTTCCCCTTAGCCAGGTGCCCCTGTTCACAGCTCATCTCCACAACCTTACCAGGTGGCCCTGCTGACAGCCTGTGTCCATCCATCCCTGGGAGAGGCCCTTCTCCATTCAGGTCTCCACCATCCTCAGCTCACACTGACCTCTCCCCAAGACTGTCAGAATTTGGCCAACAGATCTTACATCCTGCCCTCCTTCCTCCTTGTATTTATTACTCAGTTTAAGACTAGTCTCTGCAATCACATGCCCATGGGAGCATTCGCTCCAGCTCTAGCTGTTCATTAATGTCTAGATTCTGGCCCAGCCCTATGGGTGCCCGAAGCCCCCCAGACCTAGCCATCTTCATACAGACAAGCCTTACAGAGACACAAAGGGCCCACCGTGACAGACGTAAAGGCCTCAGTTCTCCTCAACTCATTTACCACCTCTTCTAGTATAGTCCTTATTACCAATTGGATGATACAAATGTGTCCATGACCTCATTTCCATACCAAGGACCTCCACCCTCTGGTGTTGATGATCCTGTGAACAGTGGCACAGGTCACTAAGTGCTTCCGAAATGCCTAGCACCACACTAAGCCCTTCGCACACACAATGATGCAGCAGGGATACTACCCTCCCCCTGGGCTGAAGATGCTCAATTCCCAGAGCAGTGGCCAGAATTCAAACTCAGATCTGTCTGGGTTCTTTTTTTTTAATTGTACACTGTAGGAAATGATAATTACTATATTTTTAAACTATAGCATCATGAATTTAATATATTCACTTAATAACTTTTTAAAGTAAAGCAAGAGGATATGCATTAAATGTATGTATTTATTAAAATACACTTACTTAGACACATTATAATATGAAAAACTCTTCATTTCACAATTAAAGAGAATCAGTAGTGAATCGGTAGTCTAGTTGACAGGGTTTTGCTAGAAGGACCTAGAAATGCTCAATAGGGCATATATGAAGAATAAAATAGCATGTATAAAATTAAGTAATATGCGATATTACTGAAAAAGCTAAATTTAAATATGAGGTGTTGAGCTACTGCTATTTTATAAAAATTAAGGGGGAGAAATTCTGATATTGCTGAGTAAATTAATATAAAATTATAAGTTGATTTATGTGCACCTCCCCCACCAAAAAAAACCCTATTTGTATAATACCAACAAATTGAACCAACTGTACACATTCTAAGTGGTTTCTACATACATTGTTATTTTTCTTTCTGCAAGGCAGAAAAACATATATAATTAACTTATTTTTTCTCCTCTTCCCCCAATTCTGTTAATACCATGATAGGCAGCTAGTTTCTATACACATATACATATACCTTCTCTTTCAGTGTTTGAAGAAAGCCAGTACTTTTACTAGACTTTCATAGACAGATATGTCCATCTAATTAAAGCTACGCTGTCACTGTCAAAGCAGATGACTGAATCTTTCCCTGAAAGTTGGATGTGCTCACTGCAAAGAATACAAAAAAAAAGCAAGAGAAGAAAAATGATGTTTCAACAGAATTTTTTTTTTTTTTTAAGTAGCACAGCGGGACACACTCAAATCATTCAACTAATAGCATACTATTCTGGATGCTAAAAATAAAGTGAAGTTCCTGTTTTCAAGATTTCTCCCTTTAGATTCAGCTACACTGAAAATACACAAATAAGTTTTTTTTTTGTTTTTTTGTTTTGTTTGTTTTTTTAGAAAATTATCAATTTTATTTAGATTTTCACACAAAGAAGTTTTTAAGGGAACTTCTTTTGTTCCTACAGTTTCTTCATATTTTCTCCAAGAGGGGACATTGTCTCTATTTCCTTATATTAATTTCCCACTAATAAGATAGCCTCCAAGGAATATTAGGTATTCTTAACAAGTTAATGATTATGGCCATTTTTTTTTCAATTAAGTTTACTGAGATAAAAATTTTCTATAATAAAATTAACCACTTTTAAGTGTACAATCCGATGAGTTTTGACAAATGCATATGATCATGTAACAACCACCAAAATCATACTAAACGTTTCCATCAACCCCAAAAGTTCCTCTTTGTAGTCAGCTCCCTTCCCCAGTTCCTGTCTCTTGATCGGTTTATCACTGTGGTTTTTTGCTTTTTCTAAAAGTTCATATAAATGATCTTATTTCTGGCTTATTTCAATTAGTATAATTGGAAAAAATGTCTACGGTGTTGCTTCTACCAGGAATTCATTCCTTTTTATTGCTAAGGAATAGTCCATTGTGTGGCTATACCATAATTATCAATTCACCAGCTAATAGACATTTGTTTGTTTGTTTTTTCCAGTTTTTGGTTGCTGTAAATAAAGCTACATTGGCCATTTTAGCACAAGTCTTTTGGTGGGCATATGTCTTCATGGGTCATAGAGTAAATGTATGTTTAAGTTTATATGAGAATTTTAGATTGCATTCTGATGCCTATTTCTAAACAACAGATTTGCTTCAATCTCTCAGTTAAAAGGAAAAAGCCCCGACCTATAACAATTCAAATTATCGACATTATTGAAAACCACAAACCCCTGACAGAGGTAAGAAATGATCAATCTGTTAATATCTGTTGATATCTAGCCCTCATTATGCATGCATACTCTTCTACTTCAGGATATGGGGAACAGAGTTCAGTCTGGTGAGGGAGCCAAGTTACACTGTTTCAGACTGAGTATGATTATGTTGTGAGAAGAAAAGCTAAATATTGCAGACATTGCTACTCCAAGTTTGGTCCACTGACCAGCAACAGGGGCATCACCTGAGAGCTTGATAGACAAGACAATCTCAGCTCCACCCCTTCATCTGCTGAGTCAAACCTGCATTTTAAGGAGATCCCCCAGTGATGGGTGTGTTTGAGGACCTCCGCTGGAGTCCGAGGGGAAAGGAATGATGTGCCACTGAGAGGATCAGGGCTTCACCAGAAATAGTTTTTAGAAGAACTGGAAGATTGTTCTAAATGCCATGCTATCTTTTTTAAAAGTCCTTTGGGCTTGACCTTTTAAAATTTCCAATCAACTGAATTTTCTTGGAAGACACTAGTGAGACTCTCAGAAAAGTCACTTTCACCATGCAGGGGCTGTTTGAGTTTTCTCTGTAAATTCCCAATCATTTTCATTTCTGTGTTGTTTTCAGTCGTATCCTCCCATTTACGACCGGTATCGCTGTGACACTACTGGTTATTTTTGAGAGGAAACTCAGAGGTGGGCAACATGAGGCTTACAGTTGCTCATATGGAAACAATACTAATTAATAAGAATACAAGCATAATCTCTGTGCTTCAACTGTAGGCCTACTTTTGCCCATCCCTGTCTAGGGCCCCTCTCAGATTATGCCTGCAGGGCACGCTTCACTCTCTGCATCGCCTTCTGACTTGCCTAGAAGTGCCAGCCAAACCACCGGCCACACCTCGACACCAACATTTCCAACGACTGCTGTTCACCATGTGGACCCCAGAATTACAGATCGCAGAGCTGGAAAGACGGCAAGCACTCAGGCCATTTAAACCGAGTAAGGTCTTTCTTAAGTCACCATCGTCCAGAACAGGCAGCCAAGCTTTAGAAAGAAGTTAAACTTGCCAAAGGTTACCTCACTTAGAAGCAGCGGTGTCAGCGGCACAGGAGAACATTTTTCTGTGGATCCTCCTCCAGGGCGATGCCTGCCTCATCCTGGCTGCGCAATAACAACCCGCTAATTTGTGTTTCATGCCAGTCCTCTCTGAGCTCTGTGGTTTTCCATTCCTGAAGCACCTCCCTCGCCTGGCACTGCACGGCCTGGGTCTCACCCCTCCAGCGTCTCTGCCTGTGTTTCTAGGTCTCCTCTTCCTCCTCAGCACAACCTACAGGTGTCCTCAAGCTCTGATCATAACCCTGTTTCCCAAACCCACGTTCTCATTGCTTCTCAGCTACTAGCAATCATCTCTAATCTCTCCCCTTTAAGCCAGCCCGCACGCTGCACCTGGCAGAAGATTCAAAAAGCCCAGCTCTCACTGTGTTACCCGCCCCTTAGGAAAACCTTCCCTGGCTTTCACTTTTGCCAAATCAACATAAAATCCCTTAGCCTGGCACTGAAGACTTCTATAAGTTAGTATTTTCATCTTCTCATCTTCTTCTTTCAGTTTCTTCTTTGTAGGCAGCAGCATAATTAGGTGTTAAGGTTGCCCACCTGGCTATCAGCCTTCCTAGGTTTGAGTCTCAGCTCTCTACCTCTGTACAAACCTGAGAGGTTGCTTAACTACTTTATGCCTCGGTTTCCTCTCCTGTAAAATGGGAATAATCATGCTACCTAATAGGGCTATTTTAAGTAGTAAATATAAAGCACTTAGGTCAATGTTTGGTACATGGTAAGGACTTGTAATCTTGTTTTAATTCTTCTTTTAAAACTAAGCAAGTATTAGCTGCCCATACACCAAGCCCTCACTAAAAAAATTCCTTCATAACATCTGGGAAAGATCCTACAGAATTCATGGCATCATGTGAATAATAGCTTCCGAAAACTAAGCTGCCATTACAGTGCTAGCTTTCATTCTGCACATTCATTTCAACATTTCAAAGTATCTGTGATAGGAAGCCTTACTCATTTTCTTCTGAATATAAAATGAAAGGCGCTCAAGTTAGTAATAATTCACTCGCAAAACTTGTCTTAGAATTAGACTCTATTTCTGGCTATAGAAGCCACACCCTTTTATGTTTTTGTATAATAAAAATGCTCTGAATCTTAATACAAACAAATACCCCAGGTTTGTAATCAGCATATCTAATTGAAGCAAGAAATAAAATCAAGAACTCTACAAAAAATCTGACTTGGAGAATAGGTTTTATCTTTTGCTCTGATTTGGGTCCATTATAATGTTGAGAAGGATTCAAACATTGTGTTCTAGGCTCGGAAGCAAATCCCAGGGTGAGTGAGCAAGGTCTACCAAGGGAAGGAGAGCTGAGTGTTCCCTGGCACTGGACTAGAGAATGGGGGCAGAAGAATAACTACTGCCATGCATGGCAAGGAAAAGAGTGTAAATTTCTGAACACCATGTGACAGAGCTATTTGAGATGCTTTAGATGTATAATTATTTTAATCCTCAAAACCACCCTTTAAGAAAGGCACTAGTTGTCATCCCTACCATAGAGATGAAGACACTAAAACCAGAGAAGTTATAACGAACCTAAGAACACCCAAGAAGTAAGTGGCTGGGGTTTGACCCGGCACACACCAGAACCCATCTCTTCACCATGTTCCTACATAATAAAAGGCTAATATGCAAATAGAACGAACAGTGCAATGACCGGTCGCTATGATGCACACTGACCACCAGGAGGCATACGCTCAATGCAGGAGCTGCCCCCTGGTGGTCAGTGAGCTGTAGGAGCGCTGCTCAGCCAGAAGCACTGAGCCAGGCTCACAGCTGACAAGCGCAACGGCAGTGGCGGGAGCCTCTCCTGCCTCCGTGGCAGCGCTAAGGATGTCTGACTCCAGGGAGCAGGCCTAAGCCATCAGTTGGACATCCCTTGAGGGCTCCTGGACTGCAAGAGGGCGCAGGTGGGTGCAGGCCAGGCTGAAGGACCGCTCCCCCCTAGTTATGTTATAAAGATTCAAAATATTTCCATGTTCTTGATGCCAGGAGATGGAAAGGTTGACAGGAAAGGCAGTTCCACAAATCACCAAGATGATTTCAGCCCCAATTCCACTAAAGTAAGATGCTTCTGGCAGTGAGAAACCTGAAGACCCAGCCCTACCTCCATCCGGGTTCAGTCTTAAAAGTTCTGCAAGCCCAGTGGCTCGGGACACTGGGGAAGGGCTTTGAAACCACTCGTGAATAATTTCGGTTTGAATAATGAAGAGATCAAGAGAATCTCACAAACTAAATCCCAAAACCATTATAAATGCCCATATTCACCAGTACCACTAACACATCAAGTTCTCAGTCAATAAGTACCCTTCCTAAAAGGATTTCCAAATAAAACAGTAATGAAACAGATCTGCCAATAGGTTAACTGTTCTCTGATGAATCTTAGCAAACCAGAAAGACTGTATGGATTCCTGGATAAAACATCGAGCTAATTCCTGGTGGACATTTGAACTCGAGAGCTTTCTCAGAATGTTTGTAAGTTGAGGTTCCAGGAATACTAAGGAAAATATGCCTAAAAATCATATGAAGGTGCTTTAATGACTTTATTATTAATTGTAGTATTGAAAGATAGAAAATTCAAGATCATCCTATTGAGAAAACAAAGCACAGAGAGGGCAAGCATCTTGCCCAAAGACACACAGCTTGTTAACAGCAGTTTCTACAATAGTTGTGATTCATGTAACGTTACAGTTTCAACTTCAGAGTTTTCTTACTTTTTCACTTCCAGATGGGTTTAAAACATTCCCAAGGACATGAGAGCTAAGTTAACAGGTAGGCCTATACAAACCAGAGGGTAAAGTTTCCTGCTAAAGCTGGAAACACTGTCTCATTATATAAGGACATTGCCAGTGTCCAAACTTCCATCTAAAAAGTCTGAGCCAGCCCTGGCCGGTTTGGCTCAGTGGATGGATGGAGCGTCGGCCTGTGGACTGGGGGGCCCCGGGTTCAATTCCGGTCAGGAGCATGTGACTTGGTTGTGGGCACATCCCCAGTGGGGGGTGTGCAGGAGGCAGCTGATTGATGTTTCTATCTCATCGATGTTTCTGGCTCTCTGTCCCTCTCCCTTTCTCTCTGTGGAAAATCAATAAAATAAAAAATAAATAAATAAATAAAACGTCTGAGCCAGCGGCAGTGCTGCCTTTGCTTACCTGCACTTTTAAGGAATCCGTTTCCCACAGGCCTTCTGTTCCGTAAGGTGAAGAATGTGGTAGGGGTGCCAGAGCTTCAGGAGGCTGTCTGCCCAATCGCTGTACCACTAGAAATTATCCAAGACAAAGGTTGGGCTGCTCCTTCACTTGTGAGTACTGAAATGAAACACAAAGACGGCATGCTTCTAAGAATGGCTCGTTACCTGAGAACATTTTTCATCCATTAAAAACACTTTAATGAAGACTATTTTAGCAAACTCACTCCTGACCTGTCCCCAAAATACTTGACAGGATGATGAAATTGCCAAAAACAAAACAAAAAATCCAACAGCACACCCAGCAGCACCTATTACATTACTGCAGTTCATGGCTGGTTATCCACAGGATCCAGCTCCAGCTCCTTGAAAAAAATAACATGTCCAGCTCAATTAGCCCAAAGCAACCTGGTAATGAAAGAACCATCTGTCTTATTTTTCAGCTTCTCTCCACACATGCACACAGCTTCATTGTTACAAGCGGAGGTGAGAGAAGGAGCTGTTGCTCTGAAAACCCGCTGAAGAGAGGGGGAGGGAGGACAGCGGGGAGTTGAGGAGGAGGCTGAGGAGAGTAAAAACAGCAAGAAGAAAGGAGGGGAAGGAAAGCGTGAAGAAATTAGTAAAAACAGCAACTAGTTTAAGAATGTGCTGTGGCCGCTTTCTCAAAAAAAATATTTTCAAGAGAATCTTAAAATACTCCTGTCACAGCTTTTCTTACATTGTTTCAGCTTTTCTTACATAAGACTAACCCGATACAAAAACCAACAGCAACAAAAAAGCTGCAGCTCTGTACTTCCTGTTTAGTATACATTACTGCAGTTCATGGGTGGTTATCCACAGGATCCAGCTCCAGCTCCTTGAAAAAAATAACATGTCCAGCTCAATTAGCCCAAAGCAACCTGGTAATGAAAGAACCATCTGTCTTATTTTTCAGCTTCTCTCCACACATGCACACAGCTTCATTGTTACAAGCGGAGGTGAGAGAAGGAGCTGTTGCTCTGAAAACCCGCTGAAGAGAGGGGGAGGGAGGACAGCGGGGAGTTGAGGAGGAGGCTGAGGAGAGTAAAAACAGCAAGAAGAAAGGAGGGGAAGGAAAGCGTGAAGAAATTAGTAAAAACAGCAACTAGTTTAAGAATGTGCTGTGGCCGCTTTCTCAAAAAAAATATTTTCAAGAGAATCTTAAAATACTCCTGTCACAGCTTTTCTTACATTGTTTCAGCTTTTCTTACATAAGACTAACCCGATACAAAAACCAACAGCAACAAAAAAGCTGCAGCTCTGTACTTCCTGTTTAGTAGAAAATGTTATTTTTTTAAAAAAAAATTATTGATAAACAAATATGAAAACCTACAAAAATATGCCAAATACTTTATTTCAGAAGCCACTCATGAACTCTAATGTCCTACATGCGGAAATAGGAATGCTTTATTATGAAATTCATATAGTAACATGAAAAATGCTTAGATTCTACCAAGCAAGGGAAGAAACATTTTAAAATGCGAGTACTCTAAGGTTATTTCTACGTGTTCGATGCGTGTGCAGACACATTACTGAAAGCCGTTAGAGAACAATGAAACCAGGTGGTGCGCTGAGTTATGGCCTACAGATAATTTTTTCTTAAAAGTTTAAAATCTTAATCTAGAATTCAATTCTTAAGACTAAAATTCTTAAATATTAAAATGTATAGAGACAGGACATGCTTATTTTCATATATTCCTGCATGCCTTTCACGTCTGAAGTGCTAATTGGCACATTTACAAATTAGAAGGCAGGCGGTGGTGCTCCTCAGTGGCTATTATAATAGAAGTCTCCTCCATGAGACACAATTGCGAACTTAAAGAAACTATGGATAATAAGTTTGTGCCTCAGCAGCATTCTCCCTAAATGTATACGAGTAGACATACAGCTCCTGAGTTTCTGTCATCTTCTACTCACTAGTACTTATTACTGGGTGCAATCACAATATTGAAATTGGTAGGGCCCTTTAAGACTTTCTAGTCTACATAAGTGAGTAAAGAAGCCTTGATGTTATACCAGGAACAACTGGGGGAATGGGGATTTAGTTAGACCTGGAAAAGCTTAATCAAGGGAAGAAATAAGATGGCCCATTCTCGTGTTTAGATGGCCTGCCTGAAGAAGAGGCATTGGCCAGGCTCTGAGGTTGCCAGTGGTTAAGCCATGGCCAATGAATGTAACATTCAAGGAGTTAGGGTTGAGTTTGGTAAGGAAGAACCCGCTAATATTTAGGTTGCCTACAGATACTACATGCTGCATTGCTGGATAATGAGTCACTTGTTACTAAAGATATTCTGTTCTAAAAACCATTGGGGCTCTGGCTAGTGTGGCTCAGGTGGTTGGAGCATCATCCCCTGCAGTGGAAGGTTGCTGGCTCGATTCCCTGTCAGGGCACATACCTAGGTTGCGGATTCAATCCCCAGTTGGGGTGTGTACAGGAGGGAACCAATCAATGTTTCTCTCATAATCAATGTTTCTCTTTCTCCCTTCCCCCTCTCTAAAATCAGTAAAATATATCCTCAGGTAAGAATAAAAAAAAAAACACCTGGGGATTTACCAGTGCTTACTAAACATTAATGTTCATTGACATCACTTGAACATCTTGTTAAACTTCTGATTCTGGTCCTAGCCAGCTGCTCAGTGGTTAGAACAGCCACCCATGGTTGCATGTTTGATACCAGTCAAGGGCACGACCTCAGTTGCAGGCTTGATCCCCAGCCCTGGTCTGGGCGCATGCAGGAGGCAACCAATGGATATGTCTCTCTCACATCAATGTTTCTCTCTGTGTGTCTCTTCCACTCTCTTCCACTCCCTTTAAAAATCAATGGAAACTAATAATAAAAAAAAAAAAAAAAATTAAAAAAAAAAAAAAAATCAATGGAAAAAAAACCCACAAAACCTTGGGTGAGGATTAACAACAACAACAAAAAAATAATTAAAAAATTCTGATTCTGATTCAGTAGGTCTGGGCAGGGCCTGGGAACCTGCATTTCTAGCAAGCTCCCAGGTGACACCAGTGCTGTGGGTCAAGACTGTGGGTCTGTCAAAGATGCAGCTTGATTACAACCATTAGAATGTTATTAAAACCAATGTTTCCCAAAGTGTACAACGTCTTCTAACCACATGACTTCAAAAGTCCTCCTGATTATCCCTGGTTTCCGGGCAGGTGTTTAATAAATAAGTTAAGTGGTTATAAGCAGGGTTTTATGAGACCACACATTCAAATCTCCAAAAAAGATTGTTATCTTGGTATCCTGCAGTACCAACTAGGTCATACTTCTGAGCAATAACTAATTTTGCACAGTTCTAAGGAAGAGATGTTTTACCTCCTTTTTTTTTAAAAAAAATATGATGCTCTTACCCCAAGCTTGGCATATAAATAAGCATGTTCTGATGAATAAATGAATGAATGAATATATGCATTCAAAATGCACTTATTTATGATGTCAGTATACTACAGTTAACAGAGAAGTAGGATGGGAGGAAATGTGGCTACGAAGTAATTTTTCCCAGTGATCTGTGTTGTATAATCTCCAAAGGTGGGGAGGGAAAAGTCTCCCAAAGCTATAATTTGTAGAGTTCTTTATCAATGTAGAGGGTTGCATTATTTTTCTAACCCTGGAATTTCACCTCCCTAACACCCCTCTGAGTCATAAAAATTCCTTTAATGTGTAGAATCCCCCCATTTCCTGCTTGCTCATGTTTTTGCTCTGCTCTCCCACTTAGTTAATAAATTTGGGCTTGCAATCAGTTCAAAATCCCATGTAATATCTTTCCTGGATAAATATGCTAATATCTGAACACAAAGCTCTTCCTTCAGGTTTTAAAGCATGTTTAGGTTTCTCTCACAGAGAAAATAAACCCACAACTACAGGGAACTAGTTTCCTGCCTTTGCTCCAACTCTGAAGGCCCCCTTCTCACTGGGTTTACTGTTTTAGTTTGCTTAAAAGTTAGAGCGTTGTCCCAATACGCCAAAGTTGTGGGGTCGATCCCAGTCAGGGCACATACAAGAATCAACCAAAGAATGCATGGCTTGGTGGAGCGACAAATTGTTTCTCTTCCTCTCCCTCTCTAAAGTTAAAAATTAATAAAATATGAATTTTTAAAGTTGTAACATTCTATCGGACTTACAAAAGCCCCTTTTCAAACCACTGATTACATCAGTTTATTCTGATTGAGTCTAGCTTATTCTGCTTCCTGGGAAATATCATCTTCTGTTAGTTAGTTCCTCTTTTGCTATTTTTAAAAGAAAAAAGAGTGAGTTAAGTGGAGAGCAAAAAATCAGTTAAACGAATCAAACCTTAGGATTAAAGTGCTGGACATTTTCCTGCTTTCCACAGCAAATATGTGGTAAACTTATACTACTATCCATCGTTAGATGAGCCTCTAAACCTCTAACATTACACATATGATGTAAATCTTCACTTGTGGTATCTTATAATTTATTATTGCAAATAAGCCAATACATGCGATGTATGTTTTCTTTGATGAAATTATATAATCCTAGATTTATTTCCTAATTCACTAGTAGGTTAATGCTTTAGTCAAAGTACATTAAGTCAAATTCATTTCCTGAAAATATTAATTCTGAAAGTTTTCACCTTCTGCAGTAATTTTGTTCATTTAGTCAAAAAATAATTTCCCAATGCCTACTCTGAGCCAAAGAGTGTTCTAGATACTGAAGATACAGTAGTGAAGAAGAAAAATACTTTACAATCCAGGAGAGAGGCAGAAATGAACTGGTAGTTCACAAGTAACTTTTACAGGACAATTACGGTTTGAGTAGGAACGGACCCAGGTGGGGAAGACCAGAGAGAATTCTCAGAAAATTCCTCCGAGAAAGATTTGGCCAGGTGAGACGAGGGCGGAAATAAAAGACAACCCAGGCAGAAGAAACAGCATCAGCAAAGACTCCGCCGTGAAAATGAAAACAGTAGACTACAAGATGGGAGGCTGCCCACAGAAAATAACAGCTAATCTCTGAGCACAGCTACTGCATGCACGGACTCATCTGATCCTCACAACAGCACTGAGACAGGCACTGTTGTTCTCATTCTTCGGGTAAGGAACTGAGGCTTAGATGTGTTGACTTGTCCAAGATCTCA